AGCGTCAACCTTTACAAGGTGCAAAACTATTGCAGTGTAGTTAAGATTACGAAAGTTATTTCTCGGTTCTTAGTACAGTGGAACCTCCATTCAGGAGACACCCTCGTGACCAGGGCAAGTGCCTCCTAAAAATAAGATGGATTGGGGTTTGTTCATAGTAAACCATCCCGACTGAAAAAATGACATCAACTGAGATTTTAACCTTTGGCAAACAATTTACATCTGTCATCAAATAATATACGGTAATAAAAAGGTCATGTTGTGAAAGCAGTCATCATTGTCATGCACAAGTAATCTTTGGGGTTAGCCACGTTTTGAATGGAGGGGTCTCCTTAACAGAGGTAACGGATACAAAGATTATATGAGGTTCCACTATAATTGGTTCGCGATTTTCATATGTTCACAATCTTGACTACTTAAGTGTTTTTATTCATTTTGCTACGTAAGTACCTGCGCAAGCCAAGTTTTCTCTACAAGCTCGTCTCTGTAGTTGGACAGGAATGGTCCAGCGTAAGACAAGAAAGCTGCAGCAATCAAACAGTCTCCTACCAGATAACCAATATTTTCCTCCAAAATCTGTGTGAAAGGAATATGACAGTTAATAATGACAATAAGAACAGTTATTTGAACGCATTTCTCAAGTCTCAATGCGTTTATAAATTTAGAAATAATAAATTCAATCAGAAAGAGAAGTAAACATAGCAAATAAACATAAACACAGCGTTGAAGGAAGGCAGACCAGTTGGCTATATACAAAGAACAGCCAAGTAATTGAACTCAAGGCCAACTGAAAAAAAATCCAGTGAGACGCTGGGAGAAGGGCTAGAACCAGGGACCAAAGATAACAAGACCAACGCCCTTACCACTCGGCCACTCTCCCTCCACTCCTTGAAGTATGGATAAATTTCAAAAATTATCTGGACCAATCAGAGAGCAAAGCAAATCCAAACCAAATCAACTTTGGATTACTTTCGACAGTCAGTTGAAAATTGCCCTATCAGCTTTTGCTCCAAAGTAGTCATTTCATACCTTGACACTAGCTTCCCAGCGATCCCTCTCTCCTGCCAGACCTGACACCAGTTTACCAGCACGTTCAAGTTTCAACTCAGTAATCTCTGCTTTCTTCCTCAGTTCCTCCTTCTGGGCGGATTTCTCGTCATATTGTCTCTTAAGCTCTTCCATCCGATCCGTAACCTGTACAAAAGTGATCAACGTGAGAATAGCCTAACTTATAATAGGGTGGTACATTTAAAAAAAACGCCAAATTCTCGAGAAAACGTCTACATAGACAAGGGAAGAAATACGAGTTTGATCTTAGTATCTTAAAGGTCAAAAACATTTTTATGCGACTGCCGCAACAGAAGAAACAAGCCGCATGGTATCAGTTAGTTGTGAGATAGATAATTTGAAGCATTATAAATAGGGTAGCGTCCTTTTGAACATTAAATGTAATTTTCAAACACAATTTTAAGACTAATTTTGATTTATTCGACAGTGCAACAAACTTAGCCGCGACTTTTTAAACTGCTGAATTAATCACTGTTGAGTAATTGCCACCTAAGCAGGAAACAGCGTGGGATCGTAGCATTCGACAGAAGTTTTTGAATCCTTTGTCTTTCAGTCCTGAGCGACTGGGAGCAATTAATGTGGGTTGCGGAAAATTTGCAAGGGGCGAGGGTGGGAGTCTATCTGAGGGCCGCATGAACATTTTAGGGGTGCTACAGTTGATCGCTGATTACCACTTCGAATGGTCGAGAATGTTCCACGACAACAGCCAAAATTGTAGTTTTAAACATTTCTGACCTACCTCTTTCAGCTTGGCCTTGGCATCAGCTAACACAGCCTGTTTCTCTTGCAGCTGAGATGTTGCCTGCGCCAGCCTCTGTTTTTTAGGCTCCACCACTCTGTAGATTCGTCCATACACCTCCATGGCTCTTACCCACATACAGAGTGACTTGGCTGCCAGCGACACGCGTCCAATAATCTCTGGTTGAAAATCTGGTTGAGCGCAATACGTGCCGATTTTTTTCAGGATTCGGTCTGTCATGTTGTCTTTGTCGTAGTTGACCAATTGTTTGATGAAGTTCTGGTCACCTGTAAAGATTTGAGTTTTGAAAAAATTTCTTTAGTTATTTTTTGAGGAGTCGTTTCAGTTCAGGTGAGCTATAGTGACTTGCACCTAATTTCTCCTAACACTTTCTCTTCAATGTTCTTTAATCCATTACAAACACTTCGTCAAAATAGTGGAAGGGAGAACGGTTCTTGTTAATGAATGAATTCTATTTATAACTGGAGTGGACTTGCCAATCATTTCGAACTAACTTCAAGCGTCCTTAACTTGTCAGGGAGGCTAGAAAGATGAAAGAAGAGAAAAAGGAAGCAGCACCCACCAAGCTGTCTCTTGGCTTCAGCCCAGGTAGGCTCGCCTCCCCTCAGGATCATGACAGCCTCCATCACTTTCTCCACCAAGGCAGGTGGGCGGCCGTATGATTTGATTTCCGTCATGTCCTTCTTGTTCAGTGATTCTAAGGCCTTAGTGGCCTCGGCGAGAGCTGGCAGAGCTTCGTCCAAGTCGTGCTGGGCATTATCTGCCATTACTCGGCATTTGTCTTCCTCCTCTGCGATCTTCTCGCTTCTGGCTTGTACGATCTGTTAGGAAATTAAAGAAAGTGAACATTTTAAAAATCAAATCAAACCAGTTTATCTAACCATTCACTTAAGAAACGTATATACAGATGCTGGACTAGAGACTGTTCTTACTGCTAACAATTAATTGAAAATAAACTTTGAAGGTGTGTCACTTTTGGGTAAACGAATTCAACTTCTCGAAAATGGATGGCGATATTAACGAAAAGGTGAAAGTCACACTTAGTTTTCGTTTGTGTACCAACTGTACCAAAAGTTTGGGATGAAAGGGGCGATGGGTGCATATACTCCATCTTTGTAAAATAAAAATATCAAATTCTTATTCAACAGGCAAAACTTAGCCTGCTATCAAACTCTCGAGGGAATCTATTATAGAACCCAATTACTGGAATATCCTACTTACTTCCCTAAAGCAGGCTGCTATATATATACACGATTACAGTACGTCGTTGTTACCCAAAGGTAATTGTGATCGTGTAGCATGATGATCGTGCCGGAGAGAGTGGTCCTGAAAAGGACTGCTGGGTGACAGCACGATCAGCCTAAAGGACCAAGACTTACGATTATTCTGATAAGAAGGCCAGGAACAGACGATACCTTCTGTTGTTCATCAGCGTCTCTCTTCTGCTGCACAATCACCACAAGGTATTCCTCGCACTGTTTCTGAAACTGAGCAACTTTAGTCTTGGCTTCCTCCAGCTCGATCGACATGGACTCCACCTAGGAAAAAAAAGACATCTCTCTGAAATTTCTACATGATGACCACCTTGTTCTTTTCTATTCAGCATGGCAAGGAGACAAACGCTTGGACATGTCTATCGCCTAATCTACCTTACAACTAAACACCAGAAAGATGCTATGATGATATCCTCTTTAATAGTCATACACGATCTTCACTGTTAAGAAACCAAGTGCCTTCCATCTTCTCAACATCCGTTTTGCTATTTACCGAAATTTGTGCATTTCTTCCCTTTGTACTCCTCAAGAAGAGTGACAACAAGAATGATTGTAGCACAAGGCAAATGACAGTTTAGAAGAGAAGCCATGTTCAAGTCATTATCAAAAATATTCCACAAAAATCTTCCTAAAAGTTAGTCGCTCAAAGCGACAAATCGTGTACCTTGGCTCTGGTATCGTCAATTTTGTCCAAACCATTTCTCAGCTTACTGGCTGCGTCACCAAGTTCTTTTCTCTTCTCATAAAGCAACCTGGACGTGAAAACAAACACCAAAAGTGTACAGCCATTTAAAAACTGCAGTCTCGTGAAGGGCTGGTGGGATGGTGTAACAGGATAGTTGGGACAGGATTTTACTCGTTGTTTGTGCAGTCTAATCTGTATTAAGCGGTCACCCACGCGGAATGGAGTAAGAACCGCTAAATACAGGTCCCAAAGATTAGGGGTGTTATGAAAAACGATACGTAACGCCACTTTATGCCATAATTGACCACTAAATGGACAGAATCTCGCTCAAAAATACCACTTATTTTGATTTTGGGAGATATACAAGAATTAAAAATTACTTGAAAGATTATTCTCAGTTATATTGGAGTGGTTCCGCTTTCAGCGACCGTTCGTTACGGGTGAAAAACAATAAAAACAGGCTGTTGGGACTTAGTAAAAGGTGACCGCGACCGCTTTATAGATGTGACCGCTTCATAGAGGTGAATATAACGGTGATCAAGGGAAAAAAAATTCAGGGCTTTGACCACAAACCGATTAATACAAGGTGACCGCTTAATACGGTGCTTAATACAGATTCGACCTATTCAAACAGCCTCCTCAAAATACGACACAACTCGTAAAAATACTCAGCGATATTACACAGCAAAACGTCTGATAAGATACATCTACATATATATTGAAGCTACAAGTTAAACATGCGTGGGAGGTCAAAAGTCGCATCCTGCAACTTCTTACGTTTTATATCCAGACACAAGCTCCAAGTAATTGGTAGGTGTGACGTAGTTATGACGTTTCACTTCAATCAACATCCGTTTACTGGTCTCCACAACTGATCTATGGACTGTCACAAATATCTGCGCCACGTTGCCTTTAGTCTAAATCATGAAAAGGAAGAGATATTCATGGAGCCGTACTGAATATAATAAAAAACAAATTCAAGAGGACTCCCCCGAGACTATAAAAGGTGTCCTATGGAAAAGGTGACCCTTAGATGAATACAATAATACAAAGGTTATGGGAGAATTCAGTATCTGTGCAACCGCGCACCTAGCCCTCCCCTAACATAACATTAACCCCAATTTAGTATCAGTTGACTCTTGTTGGGTTAGGGCAGGGGAAGGTTTTGTTAGGTTAGGGGAGGGGTAGGTGAGCAGTTGCTCAAATACTAACATTGATCAAGTTATTTCGTCTGGACTGAAAGTTTGTTTTTTTCGAAGATGTCTCCTTTATAGAGGTGTACCTAACGACTTACGTCACTGTAATCATTTTCAATTTCTTTTCCATCAATTTTCTGAGACAAACAAGAGGGACATCTAACAAATAGGATCTGAACAATACCCCAAAATGCGGTACATGTTCAGCAATATTCCTTTTAATTTGTTAAACGATTTACTCAGTATTTCAGTATCCCTTCCACCCACAAAAAGAGGAAGTCAAACACGAAACTCAGTGATTGAATGGAGTAAAGAAAGTGAAGGTTAGAAGAATGTTCAGGCGACAACCGAACAAAATAGCGGATCTACATTACATTTCTTCAACAAAAATTTAACATGGTCCGCAATTACATGGGGCCCTTTCTACAGTACAGTTGCATTTGCGCATGCTCTACCCAGATATAAGCATCTTAGTGTCCCCTTTGTTCCTAAGATCGTAATACAGAAAATACATCCTCATTCCTCAGTACAAGAAGACTTTCAACACGTAGCTCGAGTTAAATTGAAACTGATCGTCTTGTGCTATGTTTAAGCTACTGCAAGTCTAAGCATGGTGCATTTTCAGGTACCTCGTCGTCGCTCAGGTCCATACTTTCTAAATACTTCTCAGCCACCTCCAAAAGAGCGTCGTGAGGCCACTCGCTGAACCAGTCGATCGTGGTACAGTTTACAAAAGCTGGGTACATCCGAATACGGTTCCTGAAAATTCAGAATATAAGCCTGAAGGGGGAGTACTTCCTAGTAATAGGCTGATGGGGAAGTACCACTGGATGAAGTCGCATTTTCACGACTGGATTGATTATGTCGGCAAGTTTTCGGGATTTTTGGGGTAAGAAAATCTGGTAAGTAGGGATTTAAAAATGGGAAGATTTGCGTGTAAATGATTATTTCTTTTCTCCATGCGGAAGCCTTACAACTGCACTCACGAGGAAAAAAAGCGGGGGTTGAAAGAAAGCATGTCACGGCTTTTTAAATCCTTTGATTTGACATCCAAAATTTCCTCCAAAAAAATCAAGTAAAAAAAATTAATTAAAATTAAGTAGACGACCATTTCCGAGGTAAAATAATGAAAAGAGGAAAGAAAAAAAAACAGAGGAGAATAATACCCAGATAATGTGCAGAAAATGGGCGGAAAGTGAGCGGCAAGCGCGCAAAAAGTGGAGAAGATGTACCAACCGGAAAAGACGCATTATAGAGGGAGCTTCGTCGTAATGCATGTACAAGTTCAGTTGGATAGAAAAACAAAAAATGAAAAGGAAACCAGAGGATGGAGAAGATCAAATGGGGTTTCAACCAAAATCTTAGCTCATTTTTCAAGATGCACAAATTATTACTAAGCTCTGATCAAATACAACAAAATTACACAGAAAAAACCACGTGATTTACACCAGCCTACCTGAAGATATCACCCACTGGACTCATGCACAGAATGATGTGTAGGTTACTCCTGACTCTCTCAATAAAGTAATTAAACATTGTCTCTGGCATGTCGAGAATGCCTTCTTTACGAGCATCTTCTGCTAAAGCAGTGCGAACCTGTAGAGACATCATAACATTGTCACTGTTAGTTAGTGTGGTGCAGTTTAAATCAGGGATTATGGTTAACTTCACTTTAAGAGAGAGGTTTTTGTTGATAGGTTCTAGAATTTGACGTTGCTATTGTTATCAATATTTAAAGCGTTCTGTTTCTGTCTTCTTAACCTTGAATGTTATCTCTAAATGAGCCGTAAGTGCATACTGTCAAGGACATGAGGGTATCAGCGGCTCTGTTTGCCTCTGACGAACATACCGGACTTCCACGACGACAAAGAAGCCGGAAAACGAAAACAATAATCTTAGCATAGGGAATCCCAACATAATACTTTACACAAACACAACAGAAAAAATAAAAGAAGAAAATTGAAGCATTTATAAAGAGCTGTAAAAGGAAATAAACGAAAAGGGAAGAAAAACTCCAGACTTTTCGAACATAAAGCTTATTCACTAACTGATATCCTGTTGATTTACCAGTTTTGAACTTTACCAACAATTTTACACTCTTCTTCTTCTTCGTGACTTACTGGCATGTCCGAATGTTTGTTACTTGGGGGAAATAACTTGGTTCTTACAGCCTGAAAGCGCGTTACCTTGCAATTACAACGTTCGCAAATGCGCAGAGGTTTGACCGCTATGTTCCGTCTACAGTCGCTCCACAACTGACCGCAATCAAGCTTCTAATGTGTCATAACTGTAGCTCATTATAAAACAGCTTAAGGACCACAAATCAAATCAAAAAGCGATCAAACAAGCCATTCATATGAAACACAAATGGGTCTTCCATTGACGTGAAAACAAATGAACACGAGTCAGGCTTACCTCCTCAAACTCCTCAGGTTTGTACAGATTTGGTACTTCTCCGCTGCTGAGGATGTTACTGATGTCTTCAAGGAAAGATTCTTCCAGCGCTTGGGTGTCGTTGAACAAGAATACTGTAGGTTTGTTGTCCACACCAGTGAGGTAATACAAGCGCTTTAAATCTGAGGTATCAAGACATCTAGTTAGAGCAGTTCTCTATGAAGTCTCATAAAACCCAAACCGAAGCAACGGCCGATTTGAACAAAGGGAACTAACTCAATTTATCGAACAAATCTACAACTGGGAATGAGCGAGGGATAGACCATTTCTGGTTTTACGTTTGCTCCTAGTTGGATGTGTGGCTGGCCAGCAAGAGATCCAAAATTAATCACAATGCCAAGACCAAAGCAATCGAAGATTCCTTTAGAAACTACATTCAGAATTCCGCTATCACTGCAATGTTACTCACCCTCCCTGAACTCGATCTTCCTGTAGTGCTTAGTGACCTCTATCTGGAACACCTTGAAGCCGATGATGTAGGCCGACAGACGACTGAGACTCTGCCGCCCGCTGCCTCCAATTCCAATCAGCAGCATGTTGCCACGAGGCTGGGCAATAACACGGATTATGCGGGTCACTGTGCCGAAAGAAATGAGTATGTTTCTCAAATCGATCAGTGAAGTTGTGCACACTGATTCGTGAGTAAAGTCGGCATTTAATATTGACTTGCGTAGATCCCGGGGCCCATACAGGTTTCTGTACAAGAAACGACTAAGAGTTTCGCTACTCCCCGTG